CGGCGGGTCCCCCTCCCTCCTGTGAGGGGAAAGAGGCCGAGCGGCGCCGAGCTGCGGGCGGCCCGAGAGGCGGAAAACAGATCGCAGCCCTGCGGCGGGCGGGGATGCGCGTAGCACGGAGCTTGGCTCGTATGTGCGCTGATGAGCTGGGTAGGAAGGGAGCAGGGTGTAAAGAGGTGGCGTTTCTAGGTGAGACGTAGTCAGGGTTAGAAAATAAACCGGTGGAGCATCGGAGGTGCCTGTTCTGGAGGTGGATGGGGACCTGGCGCTGGCAGAACCCGTCTTGGCATGCGTGAAGGCACAGTTACTCGGTGGTGTCCGTCTGTAACCCGGGCAGCTTGCACGCATTGCTGTGGCCTGTATTAATAGCAGCCAAGCAGGAGAAGAAGTTAAAAGACCTTGTGTGATAATATCCTGTAAATGCATGTATTGCATTTTAATGGTTTGCAACCGTTAAAGAAGGCGCTAATGTATGGGAGATACTGTGGTATCTGTAAATTGAAGGTATGCCTCACTTCTGTGCTGATTTATAATTTCAACTCTGTGGGGGAAAATATTAGCCCATCTGAAGAATCTTTCAAAGTTCCATAGTTAAAGCCAGAAGAGATCTAACTCCTGTACAATACAGAATGCAGGACTTCTTTATCAGTGAAAAATCTATCAATATGAAAAGTAACCATCGCTTGGCATGTCAAAATACCTTTCTCATTTTGGGAATGGAGAGATATGAGGTGATTGCCTTCTAGAACAAAATGTTTCTCTCTTCAAATGGGTATAGCAAAACAATATGTTAAACTATATTTTTATTGCCCAAGATTAATTAAATGGGGTGTGAGGGGGGTGTGGAAATTGTGGAGCCAGTGCTAATGGTAGACCTTAAAAGAATGTAAGTCTTACAAAAGTAAAAAAAAAACAAATGCCCTGTTCGATTCAACCCCTCTCATTAGCATTCTGTATACTACATACATGCACTTAACCATGCTTTTGAGTTAGTTTAGTGCCAGTACAGTGAAGCTCGTGGGTTCAGAATCTGCAGGTACAGCACAGTTTCTTCTGACAACTGTTCAGTCCCACATGAACACAAGTAGGAATAATATCTTGGCTACAGAAAGGCCCTCTTGGAAGAAGATAAACCAGACAAAGAAACCATTCCTTGAAGAAGAATAATAGTGTTATAAAATGGGCGCTGAGAGCTGGTGTGGTTTAGGAGCAAGTGGGGAGGAGAGCCATGGTGTTTGACTTAGTATCTCGCTCTGAGATGCGCTGTCCGTAGCAGTTTGGAATGGGACTGCATTTATGAAACCTGGCACTCTGCCTGGAAAATAAATGCAACTCTGATATGTTTGAAGTATGTGGCTTAACAAAAGCAATAATCTACCCTTTGCAGAGCATTGCTGAAGTATTCCGATGTTTTATTTGTATGGAGAAATTGCGTGATGCACGTCTGTGTCCTCATTGCTCCAAGCTGTGCTGTTTCAGTTGTATTCGGGTGAGTTTGCTTATTATAGTTTATTCTTGCAAATGTATGAACTTAAAAACTGCTGATTTTATGAACACGTTCTTGCTTCTTTCTTGCCTCTTTCCCTGCAGTTCCAAGGATGCCTTTTTCCTGCTCTGTGCTCTTTAGTTTCCCTTTCAAAATCTTTTACGACACCCTGAGGAAAAACTAGGCAGGCTATGCGTTGCATTCAGTAGTGCTGATTATAGGGACTATCTGGAATAACTGTTTTTAAGAAACAGACATATAATGATCCCTTCTTTAGCATCTTTTGAGAGACAGTGATGCCTGTGTGGAAGATAAAAGTTGGAACAGGAGTTAAATACTGACTTTGCATCTGCCAGTATGGAACACTGGCAGGTCATAACATCACCTCTTGTCATCTTAGAGATGTTTTTAAATGCTTACGAAACTAATGTGATATGATCAGATATGGGCTAAATCTTTCTTGAGGGAGTCTGGTATAGCAGGCTGAAGCAGCATCTGAAGTACCTCAATTCATTTATTAAGGTCACGGTTACCAGTGTATAACACTTCAGTTCCAAGTCCACAGGCTGTTCCGTGTTAGTGTAGTGGGAGAGGGTTCAGCTGAGGTTTTCAGACCTCTGGTAGTATTTCCAGAAGTTGGAACAATCATCATTCACTTTGAAAGCTCTGACAAGAACCATAGGTGAAGGATTCGTGTTAAGAATGTTAGATGACACATTGATGCTGGGTGGTGAGAGATTATTCATCAGAATCTTTAAATGTAGTAGTGAGCTGACAAATGTAAGCCCTTCAACTGCTGAGCTTTTACACTTGTAAGCTGTAGTGGGCAGGTGAAGTTCTTTCCTCAGCTACTTGTCTTTGAAGCTTTCTGGAGGAGAAATGTTCAAAGGGTCCTTGTGGATTTGATCATTGAACTGCAGGTATTGAACTTGCGTGTAAATAGCTCGAGAGGAAGAAATAAGTTACCTTGAAGACTAATAATTTAGGCTCCGAAAAGTATGCTTGTTGTATCTTTTGCTTTCTTTTGTTGAAACATGCTCTTTAGTCTATGACTATGGGAGTCTGTGCCAGGTGTGTGGTTTCTAATGGAATATTTGGAACCTCAAAATTCTCTATGATTTTGACTGAAGCATCTTTGACATCTAAAGAAAAGTGGTTGCTTTGTTACTCAGATACAAATAGCAGCTTATTCTGTGACTA